ATATATATATATATATATATATATATATAGGTAGAGAAAAAGGGAGAGAAAGGAGGCGAAAGCCAGAAAAGTGAAAGAACTCTATACGGAGAACGTTTTTGCAAGTTTTGCATCAACTTCTTGCCGTATTTTCTGCCTCTGTAATTCCTCCTTCGCCTCCAACTCCTGCTTCCGTATGGCTCGTACGATGTCCTGCACCTTATCCTCCATGGCTTTCATGCACGACTTCTCAACACCGCACCCCCGGGCATCGAAGAAGCACAGCGTTGTGTTCCCCACAACACCCTGCAAGAGTAACTCGCTGGTGTCCACCCCAAGTGCCTTGTTGCCTGCCACGTTCAAGGAGCGCAGCGACGTCTGCAGGGGCAATGCCTCCGCGAGGGCTCGGGCAGTTGCATCGCCTAGCATATTGTGGGAAAGGTCCAGCACCTCCAGTGCAGGGTGCGCTGCGAGACCATTGACTATGGCCACTCCGCCGGCTTCGTCAGGAATGCGGTTAAGGCGAAGATTGAGAACGCGCAGAGTCTTGTTCATTGTTAGCGACTCACCGAGCGCTACAGCGCCATCGGCCCGAATTTGATTGTCGTGCAAATAAAGCTCCTCAAGCGGTAAATCGTCTTTGCAGAGCAGGAGAGCAAGCTGCCTTGCCCCCTCGTCGTCAATGCGGTTGGATGAAAAGTCAAGCACGGCTATGGAGGTGTTGTGCACGAGCCCGCCAAGAATTCCCTTCAGCAACGAGCTGTTCAAGCGGTTGTTGGGGAGGCGCAGGTACCGCAGAGGTGCGTAGTTTATGAGGGCGCGGCGCACGTTGAATGCGTCTGACTCGCCAAAGCCCATCATGCCCCACTCAAAGTCTGTCCCCACGTTGTTAACGCCAATGGTCAACCGGATGTCCTCCAGGTGCGGCATGCGTGAAAGGAGACAGTCGTAGAGGGCGAACCGTGTCACCTGGCAGGCAAGATCCAGCGTGCGCACGTACCCCCTGCAGACCAGGCAAAGGTTTTCTAGCTCCTCCTGCTCAGTCGCAGTCATCTCCGGCGAACGCAGCGCGGTCAAGAAGTCGCTAAGCACACGCTCCAGAAAAGACTGCTTCCACCCCTCACACCTCGGGGGCAGAAGTTTCCCGAAGGTGCGATCGCTCAGCTGCCCCAGCGACCACCGCGCCTCACAGCAGCGACGCCAGTACTCGTCCGAGAGAATACGCGGTACGCTAACCGTCAAGGGCAAATCCGTCGGCAACCTCTCAATAATGTCGTCATACAACTTCGGGTGTTCATCGCGTAGTCCGTCGGCCTCTGGTAGCGCGGCAAAATTTGCCGCGATCACCTCCACACATAACGTGACTAGTTTGGGCACAAAGTATGACTCCTGCACCTGACGCTTCTGCCGCTGTTCGGGGGGCAAACCCGAGAGCAGAATGTCCACCTCACGTTGACACTCCCGCACCCGCACGAAGTGAAACTCGCTCCGCTGCGTCACCCTCTTTACCTTCATCATCGCAGAAACCTCAACCCCGTACCGCAACGCAGACACACCCACGCCAAACAAACTACACAGACGATCACAAACCACACTAGCAAGCCTCAAGCACATGAAAAAAAAAAAAACATGTAAACCGGGTAGCACCACAGGAAACAGGAAAAAAACGAGAACTACTACTTCCACGACAATACCCACCCAGACAGAGATGCAGTACTGACACACAAAACTACGAAAAGAATCCAATACGCAAATGACCGAATCAAACGGAAAAAAAAAACACCCTAACGTGAAACCAAAGCTGTATACAACGCATATAAAATAAATTATGGTACCCTCCACCGCAGATTGTCATGCAGCGGTGCTGCCATCTGCAACAAATACCAGAGTGTCCTCGCCGTGGGAAAGGGTCAGGCTGTCACCCTCGCGCGAGGCCCGCATTCCCTTTTCAAATCCAACACCAAGGGCACGCTCCACATCCATATGAAACGGTGGTCCCATCATCACTGTCGTCATGAGCATTCCAGTAAGCCTGCCGTTTTCGTAACTCAGGACGCCGTTCATTATGTTGGACACATTCACATGAACCCGCACTTTATCTCCATCTTCCACCAGCGTCAGCGAGGGGACA